AGGCAGCAGCGTCTGGATCAGCTGTCTGATCTACTTTCTATAGTTCTAGTGAGGATGCAGGCAGCAGCGTCTGGATCAGCTGTCTGATCTACTTTCTATAGTTCTAGTGAGGACGCAGGCAGCAGCGTCTGGATCAGCTGTCTGATCTACTTTCTATAGTTCTAGTGAGGATGCAGGCAGCAGCGTCTGGATCAGCTGTCTGATCTACTTTCTATAGTTCTAGTGAGGACGCAGGCAGCAGCGTCTGGATCAGCTGTCTGATCTACTTTCTATAGTTCTAGTGAGGACGCAGGCAGCAGCGTCTGGATCAGCTGTCTGATCTACTTTCTATAGTTCTAGTGAGGACGCAGGCAGCAGCGTCTGGATCAGCTGTCTGATCTACTTTCTATAGTTCTAGTGAGGACGCAGGCAGCAGCATCTGGATCAGCTGTCTGATCTACTTTCTATAGTTCTAGTGAGGACTCAGGCAGCAGCGTCTGGATCAGCTGTCTGATCTACTTTCTATAGTTCTAGTGAGGATGCAGGCAGCAGCGTCTGGATCAGCTGTCTGATCTACTTTCTATAGTTCTAGTGAGGACGCAGGCAGCAGCGTCTGGATCAGCTGTCTGATCTACTTTCTATAGTTCTAGTGAGGACGCAGGCAGCAGCGTCTGGATCAGCTGTCTGATCTACTTTCTATAGTTCTAGTGAGGACGCAGGCAGCAGCGTCTGGATCAGCTGTCTGATCTACTTTCTATAGTTCTAGTGAGGACGCAGGCAGCAGTGTCTGGATCAGCTGTCTGATCTACTTTCTATAGTTCTAGTGAGGACGCAGGCAGCAGCGTCTGGATCAGCTGTCTGATCTACTTTCTATAGTTCTAGTGAGGACACAGGCAGCAGCGTCTGGATCAGCTGTCTGATCTACTTTCTATAGTTCTAGTGAGGACGCAGGCAGCAGATGATGTATCCAAATAGAAAAATGCAATGGTGTAGAAATGGGAGAAGAAGAAGAAAGCGACTGCAACAAGCTAAATACATTTGTGCAAATCCAACTTTAATAGTTTAAAAACATTAAAATGCATTAAAATAGAGCTTTGACTCAAACATCTCAGAGTCTGCATTGAAAGTATACAAGTCATGCCAGCCGCTTGCAAGTTAGCATTAGCTTTACAGGTTCAACATTTGTCATGCTTTATTTTTAACAACGAGGAACAGAGTTTCATAGATTTCAATACAAAGGAAAAAACTGGGTGTAAATCTGCTCAAGTCTTGGAGTTAACAGCCAGTGACAAATTTCACAGCCATGCAGTGCAACTTTTAGTCTATATAGTGCAGATTATCCACCAGTCTCTGAGGGCCCGGTCACACCTTGCTGATTTAACCAGTGTCTCTCTGACGTCCCAGAGTCTCCTAAAACGCTTTCATATGCGGTACTTTCTATGTACTTTTTCAATTTTGGGCGTATACATAGAGTATTCAAGACGCGTCCAGAAATGATGTCCAATGTCAGCCTGACTTATGCATAACGCACGGCAGCGAAATTCCCATGAAATGATGCACAAACCAGTGTCCTGAGGGGGGCAGCGATGCGTCGGGAGGCGCCCGGCCTCCATAAGAAACCTAGCTGCTGTTTACTGACCACCAATACAAAGAATAAATAAAAAGAAAAAGAAAGATACTGCAGTGGCAGCAGATTGAGCGTCATGTCTGCTAGGAAGTGTGTTGGTGGTGGGCGTGAACGCAGGAAGGATCCATCACTCACCTTCTGGCTCACCCTATGATGGGGATGAAGTCTGGAGGAGAACTGACGGTTTCCTCCTGTGAACCCCCTTTATACCAAAACGCTGCCAATACGCCATTATACAGTAGCTGGAAGTTAGAAACACGTTCAGCGCTCGTCTGGAACACGTCAGATACGCTGATATGAAGAGAAGTTCTGGATAAGTTACGCAGACGTTATGCACAAGTTACTGGGAGGTTTAGGATAAGCTAGACGCCACAACTGATGAGGAACTGACACTGAACGGATGTCAGCCATCAGATAACTGACCTGGAACTGACGGCACACGGATGGCAGACGCTGGCATACGACGGAAGCATACAACGCACTCCCCGTATGTTGACGTGTTTCAGCGTACTTCAGTGTGTTCATGACAAAACGTACCCATAACTTATCCAATGTGTAGCAGCGTTTTACCAGATTTTTCTCACGTCAGGCAGACGCTGGTCTAAATCGCCAAGGTGTGACGGGGGCTTGAGAGGTTTTTCTTGATTCTTAATTCTAAAATTATTAAAATGAATTCTAAATATTTTAACACTGGATATGGAGTAAAGTTTCCACTAAAAAGGAAAGGGATCAAAATTTATTTGAAACAGAGTTATATTCAACTCTGTAGGTGTTAAAATAACACTTGTTTTTTAACTGTGTAATTTGAACAGCAGGTTTTTATAGGATGAAATTCTTCTCAGTATAAAGTCTCTCTTTTATAATATAATCTTGCGTATTGAGGAATTTATATCATTTATGGCCTATTTCACTTTCTTGAGCTTTTAATATGTTAAAATGCTGTTCCTTCATCAAAATCAAGGTGGTATTTTGCTTCGTTTATCTATGTCGGCATTATCCTTATGAAATCTGCTCTCTGGTCAGCAGCCCCTCCCTGTTCCAGTAAATAGCCACACAGGGAGAGGCTGCATCGTAATGAAAGTTTTTCTCTTCTGGGTCGGAAACAAAACACGAGAAGCAACAGATGTGTTGATTATATGTATAAGTTTCTCTATGGATCAAAAACAGCAAAGCTACTGCTTTAAAGTAACAGTGGAATAAAGAGGAGGTGAATCATTGTTGATGGCAGAGATCGTAGCTTTCCGAGGTTCAGAGTAGATGTCAATTTCACGACCACAGGGGGCGCTGTTGGGTGAGGCAGGATGGGATAAATGAACTTCAGAGTAATTTACTTCACCTTCAACCTGGAAGAAAACAAGAAGAAAACTTATTTTGTACATTTATATTTTCTAATCGTAATAATAACTAATTTCCTAATTATTTGCTGAACGTTTGGAGTCAATTAGATTTCCAGCAAATATTATTAGTAGTTGTAAATCATGTTTGTGATCTTATCATCATAAAAATACATTTTTTAATCACATCTGTGTAAAATATTGTAAAGATGGTCAGAACCCATAAATATTAAATAACAATCTGCTGAAACAGAACAGAAAATAAAAACCTCAGTGCTCCAAGTTCCTGCACTGTGTGTGAGAGTGAAACTATATGAGGGGAGTTTGGTTTTACGTTTTTTTATAACGCAGAATAGATACAACTGAAATAAAAATACCAAATCTGCTCATGAGTGTAAATATCTAACACTAATATCTTTAATGCTGTCCAGACTGTAGATGGACTAATATACTATATGTGTGTGTTTTGTTTTTTCTCAGTATCAGCCAGTACATGTGCATGTCGGCTGATTTATTAGGGAATTCTAAAAATCAACAATCTGGCCAAATTTATTAGTCCTCCAAAACCCTGAGATCCCAGGATGCAGACCATAAAGCAGAATTGTAGTTTAGTTTTAATAAATTTATAATAAAGTTGAACAACACTCTTAATGTATTAATAATTTTATAGAATGTGCTCCACTTTTTTATTGAACAATACTGCAGAGGGCAAATATTCAATTTATTCCTTTCAACAATTTGTTGATAAAAAACTTCTTTTGAGTAATGCACTAATTTAGGCAACGTAGCCTATTTTGTAGAAGGATAACTTTAACAATAGGAGTCTGGCTCCTGGTTTAGTTTAAAGCTGTTCTTTGAAGCAAATTGCCAGGAAACTGGAGAGAAAATGGCGCCATACGCGCCTACAGAGATCCTACTTAATCTGGACTAACTTTCTGCTGCTGTATAAAACAACTCTTTGCTAATGAGCAGCATATTTCTCTTCATTAAAAAAGAGAATAATAATAATCCTAGATATTTTTTTAATGCAGTTGCCAAACTTACCCAGAGCCATAGCTCTGTTGAACCGTCCATCCCACCTGATCTTAGCAGTAATGATTTTATAGGATTTTCTTTTTTATAAAAATAGTGATTTTATTAAAAATAAGGTAACTGGCACCCCTATAAATATGATCGGTTTATCTCTGGAAGGTGAAGCAGCATCTGAGGTAGTCATGGAATCTGAACCAGGTTTAGACTGCTTTGATCCAGTTGAACTTTCAGAGTTAGCAAAACTGTTGTTTCCATCTAAGCCTTCAACTTGTATGTTAGATCCAGTTCCAACCGTATTACTTAAGGATGTATTCGCTGTGTTTTCCACCTTTATTTCAGATGTGATTACTCTATCCCTGTTACAGGGATATGTACCTCAGGTTTTTAGGTTTACTGTATTCAAACTTTTGCTTAAGAAATTGTCTCCTGATCCAAATGATGTCTTGAATTATAGACCTATATCTAACCTTCCTTTATTATCTAAGATTTTTTTTAAATAGTTGCTAATCAGGTGTGCGACCACTTGCATGATAATGTAAGTAGCCATTAATTAAATGTTTGAGTCATTTCAGTCTGGCTTTAGAGCTCATCATAGCACTGAAACAGCTCTGGTTAAAGTCACTAATGATATTCTCATGGCCTCAGATAATGGACTTGTATCTGTGCTCGTCCTGTTGGATCTCAGTGCTGCATTTGATCCAGTTGATCATAATATTCTTTTAGAAAGACTTGAATGTTTTGTTGGAATTAAAGAAAAAGGTCTAGACTGGTTTAGATCTTATCTATCTGATTGATTTCAGTTTGTTCGTGTTAATGAGAAATCTTCCTCATGCTCAAAGGTTACCTGTGGAGTACCACAGGGATCAGTGCTAGGACCAATTCTCTTTACTATATATGCTCCCAATCAGTAGAGTTATTAGTTAGCATGGGATTCATTTCCACTGTTATGCTGATGATACCCAGCTATATCTGGCTATAAATCCTGATGAAATACATAATCCTATTACACAGGATTATGTATTTCTAGAGTTTTCCTCTTTCGTCTCTGAGATATTGCAAAAATTGGAAATCTCCTGTCCAGGGGTGATGCTGAGAAACTAGTTTATGCATTTGTTACTTCAAGGCTGGACTATTGTAATTCTTTACTATCAGGAAGTCCACAAACTGTAGTTAAAAGCCTTCAGCTGATCCAAAATGCTGCAGCCAGAGTTCTAATGAAAATTAAAAAGAGAGATCATATCTCTCCTATCCTGGCTTCTCTTCATTTGCTTCCTGTTAAATCCAGAATAGAATTTAAAATCCTCCTTCTCACATGTAAAGCCTTAAATGGCCAAGCTCCATCTGATATCAGAGATCTGATTGTTCCTTATGTTCCTAACAGAGCACTTCGCTCTCAATCTGCAGGTTTACTAGTGGTTCCTAGAATTTCTAAAAGTAGAATGGGAGGCAGATCTTTTAGTTATCAGGCTCCTCTCCTGTGGAACCAACTACCAGTTTTAGTCCTTGAGGCAGACACCCTGTCTACTTTTAAGGCTAGGCTTAAAACTTTCCTTTTTGATAAAGCTTCTAGTTAGAGTGGCTCAGGTTATCCTGAGCTATCTCTATAGTTCTGCTGCTATAGGCTTAGACTGCTGGAGGACATAGGGACCCCTTTTTCATCATTCTGCTTTACTCTATTCTCCCATTCCACAGTATGTGTGGAATAGATTAGATTATAGATGATAGATTTGGTTAAGTTTCTCAGTGTTTAGTCCTCTCTCTTCTAGACATACCTATGTGCTCATCTTTTACTGTGACTCAACTTGACTTAAACTTGACTTGTTTTAATTGTCTTTTGTTATCATAGTGTTATTTTTATTGTGTAAAAGGAGGAATGATGTTACATTGATCATTATCGGCCTTAAAATAATCTTTATCAGTTGATCACTAGTCCTGAAAGAGTCTCACTTACTTCATTGTCCGGACCGCTGGCCAGGCTGTATATATCTGTGCTTTCATCTCTCTTTGGGATGAAGTTGTTGGCGTAAACATAAACTGAAGCTAATTCTCCAGGACGTGGTTTGTTCCCTGTGTCCTGCTCTCTGATCTCCTCATAAACTGTGTTGACCTGCAGATCGAGAAGTTTATGTTGTATCAGGCAGCAGGTTTCAGAAACTGACACTTTAATGCTCAAATGATCCTGATAAAGATGTTTTAACAGTAACTCAGACTCACCGTTGTCATGTCACCATATTCTGCTTTCACTGGAGGAACTGAAAAAAAGAAGAAAAACAATTATTTGATTCAACATTTATAAACTGTTAGTGTCAGATTGTCAGGATCCAGAGATCTGCCACCTGATCTCCAGCAGAGAGCGCTGTGGGCCTCCTGAGCTGATTCCTCTACACACCTGGAGATCATCAGCTCATCAGAGGTCCACACTACTTAAGCAGCTGCCAGACCTTCCTTCGACGCCGGAGTGTTTACCTAGTTTGGTTAGCGGACCTGAGCCTCAGAACGTCTGAACTTTACTAGTAGACTCTAGAGAGGAACTAGTCTTCTAATCGCCTTTGTCTTTTGTGCTCACAGGAAACCCTGAAGCTCTGGATGAGCTCCACCTAGAAACCTGCCTGCCTGCTCATGAAAGCCAAACCTGAAGATTTCAGTTTGGATTCCTTCTTCAGCTCTTGGATAGAGCAAGGAACAAACCCAAGCCAGAAACCTTCTAGCTCGGAACTACAGTAGACGCTGCTGCTGCTTAAACTCTCTGCCACATCATTGACTCTGGACCTACGGTATCTCACCTCACGGCTCTGTTACAATCTCCTCAAGGTACATCTTGATTCTTCTCTCTATCAATCCATCATCAGCCTGGCTAACCAAACTCTCATCTCTCCAGAAACTCTGAGACCAGTCCCGGACCAGTACCAGAACCAGATCCAGTATATCATTGTACATCTTTCAATAAACCTTGTTAAACTTTCCTTCAGACTCCGTTGTGTTCTGCATGTGGGCTAAGTCCTTAAACCCAATCATGACACAGATATTATATTTAGTTTACCAGCTGGAAAATCTGAACCTTTGCTGCTCAGCAACCAATCAGAGAGAGACTATATGACAGTGGTGTCCTGGTAGGATATATGGACACGGATGCAGGTCAGCAGGTCATCTAACTGGGCTGAGGTGAGATGGAGGGCGTTCCTTGTCAGCGTGCAGCTCCTGGAGCAGCTGGTGAAACTCTCCACAAACTGAACATCTCTGAAATATCTTGTGAATCCAGAGATGGAGCCGAAGAGGCAGAGAACTGTGCTCTCTAGCTTTATTTGGTAAAAAAGATGAGATGTACTCGAGAAGACACTTTCCTGACCTTAATGTACACTCTAAGAAATGGTTCAAGTGGTTAGTATGCAAAGGTCAAAATAATAAATATTTTCAACCCCAAATATTATGTTTGCTGGATGAACACATATTATTCAATTGTTAACTTGATTTAAGGTGTTAGTTGAAATAGAAATGAAGATAAACTGTCTCAACTTGATAATTTACTAATTTTTAAGGTAATAGAATTAAGTTTACTCAACAAGGTAACATAATTAAGTTGATAAAACTCATATTTTTACAAGGCGTACTTAAAAAGCTGAAGACAAGGTTAATTTGCCCAGACACGTCTTGCAGACAAGACCACGCCTGTAAAAGAAGGACGGAGAAACGAAAGAGGCTTTATTTGCATAATTTGAAGTCATACTACATTTCTGGTAAGTGTCTTTTTGAAATTTCTGAAAAGCCACGCAATATTAATCCACAGTTGCTACGATACACATGAAACTCAAAAGAAATGTTAGCTAGTTCATGCCATATTCTGTATGTAGCATGTTGGTTAGATTTAGCTTTCTAAATGGTGCAAAATTGCACGTGGTGGTACCTCGCATTGTTTTGAAAGTGATTTTTACATCCCTGTGAAACAGTGGCGGCCGGCCCATAGGGGGCGCTGGGGCACCGCCCTCCCTGATAAGAAGAGAGAAACGTAAAATATATTTTTAGAAATTAACTCATAAATGTCAGTTTTACTCTCTAGAGTGTGTACCTATAAGCAAAACAAATTATATAAACTACATTTCCCTACCTACTGTCATTCATTTGTGGATTTCCACAGACAGACTCCTACCGTCTCTGTTCTGGGGGCGCTGATCAGACAGCCCCACATTTGCAGAGAATCTGTCAATCATGTACTATTGCTAGGTGAATTTAATGGCCAATCAGCGTCTCGGAACTTTATGGTATTGGGGCGCTGAAAATACTGCGCTTTAACAGGCTTCTGAACCCAAGCGCAGGTGCAGACAGTTAGAGGGAAGATGGCGAATGTAACGAACGAGATGCAGCTTCCACCAAATTCGGTGAGATCCTTATTTATCTACCCGTTTGCCAGAAGAACATCCCTGTTGTAGGATATGAACATTTCATGTCATGGTTATTGTGACTGTGACGAATCCACCTCGTCGCTTAAAACAACCTCTCTAACTTTGCGCGCCACACACACATTCCTGTTATACTGTGTTTGTGAGGACCAATACACTCGCGCACAGCCCAGTAGCTCCATGAACTTAAAACACACAAGCTGTTCCTGGTTACCTGCTGGCGTATTGTGTGTGTGTGTGTGTGTGTGGGGTGTGTGTGTGTGGATGTGTGGGGGGTGTGGGTGTGTACGTGTTTATGCTACGGGGACTTGTCATCTTCAGTCTGGCTGCGTCTTTGCTGGGTTCAAATCCAGTTTGGTGTAATTGAATAAGTCAATGAATCTGTGTAAAAGAATTAAGTTGTAAAAATTATTTGTTTTTGTACATCAATTGTTTGTGGAGGTAATATATGGACAAAACTGATTTATGAGAAGAAATCAGAAATAAGAGAGCCTGAGGGTAGGGGCTTAAACTATTTAATGAGGGGGAAGAAAAGCGGCAATTTTTGTTTTCTGTTTCTTTGTTACATTGCTGGTAACTGGAGGGAGGCTGAGGCCCAGAGTATCTTGTACATGTTTAGTTTCTTTTGCACACTGTTTTAAGTTTTTGAGCTCAATAAATCACCAACACCGGTAACCCGACTGAGACTGGATTCTTGGAGGCCAAAGAACCCCGTCACAGTGACCCAAATCATCACTGTTACTGTTATTATATAGTAAATTAAATCATTACTGTTAAATTGTATGTATTGTCCAATTGTTTATTTGAATTCTTATTCCGGATTAGTTGGAGACATACACTAGGCTATATCAGCCCCACCAAAAATATTTTTCACCAGCCGCCACTGCTGTGAGACAAAATTCTGTATTCAAGTCAGTGAAAGCAGTTTGTGAAGCCAGCACACTGACACTCCACTGGAAACGTTTTTTTTCATCTCGTTTTAACCGTCTCAAGATTAGTTTTCCTAAATTGTTAAACATTTTGGGTAGTAGTTCATTTTTACATTTTTTTTTTGTTCTGTTTTGTTTGTGCATTACAATCTACATTTCATAGTGAGGCAGCTGGCACATTTTTGTTTTCTAAATCACTTGAAAGTTTCATTAAGTTTCACCCACAAAGCCATTTTGTAAAACCATAGTTTTTTTTCTTTCATTTAGATGTTGCCATTGTCAAAAGAGAGACGATATGGGCTTTAGATAAGTCATCTAGATTTATTACCACACTTAAACAGCAGTCACTTTAAAGTTAAACTCAAGTTTTAGAAACACTGTTCTTTTTTAAAATGAATTGGACATGTAAAATTTGCAAGTTTGAAACATCAGGAAAAGCAGATGTTTATCTATTATTACTTCTTTCGGTTTCTTGTCATTTGAATTACTATTTTTGATTTTAGCCTTTTATTTAATGGTAGAGAATGTAAACTTTCAAGCACAACTGTGTGGATGTTTGAATCTGTATTTAGCAGGCTTAAAAGATGTATGGACTTTAAATATTGATACTGATTCTGACTTAGGATGAAGAGGGCATTACGAGTGAAGTGATAAGGATAATCATTGGAGGGACCACAGCATCTGACGGAACCAGAGCACGGATTGTGATTGAGGGAACAGAAGTCCTTCAAGACCTTGGTCCATCCAGAGCCTGTGCATTACTGATGGGACTTATGTACACCTTTAACCTCAACTACCCAAAAGTCCTTAAAAATACTGTGGAAGCATTTCAGAAGATATTCATTGGGCTGGATGGTTTGAAAGCCAGCTGGAGATGGCTGGATTCAGTTAAGATTATCTCACCAAAATCCAGATAATTCATTTGAATATGTTAAGAATAATTTTATTGTACCTGGATTAACCTGATTTATTGTCTTGTTTTGCTGCTGCTCATGACATCCTCAAGATTTTTTTCTGACTATATTTAAGAAATGTTATCTTTTGCACTAATGGTAAAAATGACCATTTGAATGCGTGTTCGTTTTTTGCAATAAAAAGAGCAAAAGAATAAAATTTCCTGTTTTTTTCGCAAACTTGGGTGAAACAATTTCATAGTACTCTAAATAATTGAGTTAACAATCTGCATAGACCTTTTTGAGTAGAATTGACTCAAAACAAAGAAGTTATGTTAGCTTATATAACTAACACCAAAACTTTATTTTCCTTCAAAAAGTTTAGTAATATTAAGTTCAATCAGCATTATTAAGCATTTAGACATCAATCTAAATCATATTGGTTATAATAAAAAAATTAAGTTTGTTGAATATAAAAGTTTCTTGATATATACTTGATAATGCTTGAGTTGTAAGTACTTAAAATGGTCCATGCAAATTGTTACCTCAATTTTTTTAAGTTGAACCATTATATTATTTTTTAGAGTGTAGACAGTGATCAGAAAAGAGGCAACAGACCCGTTTGCTTCTCATTCAGCATAAAGAGAGTCTGAGAGCCAGGCTCTGGTCCAACATTAGTGTCTAACCTCACAGATGCTCTTCTGGAGCAAAGGTCAGACATTCCTATCAACAAACTAAACCAACCTGATGGAAAACAGAGGAATTTCTATCTGATTCTTTTATTACAGGTTTTCCAATTTCTAAGGATTATCTGTAACATCTAATAAAAGTTGAATTTGGGGAAAATGAACCAGAGTGATTAAAGGTTTCTCCAGTTCATTTTCTGTAAATAATGGAGACAAAGTAGAGTTTGTTCTAACTCACCTTTCTGTTGTCTGAAGCTCTTCCTCTTGAAGAAGATGAGCAGAGCTGCTGCTAAAATGATGATCAGGATGGAAAGAATCAGACCCACATATAGCAGCAGACCTGCAGGGATGTTTATAGAAGAGTTGATTTAGTTTATCCCATCAGCTGCTCTGTTCCTCATAAACAGGCCATGTGCATTAATGTTCCTCCTTCATCAGCTGCTGATAAAAACAGAAGGTTTCTCCAGGCTAGGCAGAAGCCTCCACCACCAGGCCAGGCAGCAGCCTCCACCATCGGGCCAAGGAGGAGCCTCCACCACCAGGCCAGGCAGAAGCCTCCACCACCAGGCTAGGCAGAAGCCTCCACCACCAGGCCAGGCAGCAGCCTCCACCACCAGGCCAGGCAGCAGCCTCCACCACCAGGCCAGGCAGCAGCCTCTTCCACCAGGCCAGGCAGCAGCCTCCACCATCAGGCCAAGGAGGAGCCTCCACCACCAGGCTAGGCAGAAGCCTCCACCACCAGGCCAGGCAGCAGCCTCCACCACCAGGCTAGGCAGAAGCCTCCACCACCAGGCTAGGCAGAAGCCTCCACCACCAGGCCAGGCAGCAGCCTCCACCACCAGGCTAGGCAGAAGCCTCCACCACCAGGCCAGGCAGCAGCCTCTTCCACCAGGCCAGACAACAGCTTTCAACACCAGGCCAGGCACAGATGTGAGCTGACTACCTCGCCTCTGTGTAATCTGCCCTGGTTGCTGGGACTGCCACCTTGCTCTATCTCCAACCATGGCCACCAAAAGAGACATGGAGGACCTAAAACGAGCAAATGAGGACCTGAGGAAATCAGTGGAGTTCATGGCACACCAAATGGAAACTATGGCAAGTAAGCAAGATTCTCTGATGGGCTTGATGAAAGACATTAAGGAACTGAAAAAACAAAATGAGGAGAAAGATGCTAAGATTGTTCAACTCGAAGGCAGATTGTCTGAGTTAGAGCAATATACTCGAATGAATGATGTTATTATTACAGGACTTTCAACAAGACCCTCTTCATTTGCTACTGCAGTGAGGTCTGGCATCCAGGGTTCTTTGCCCATGGACCAGGATTTGGACTCTGTGGAGCAACAGGTGGTGAATTTTCTCCACGGAAAAGGCATTAGTATAAGCAAGGAGAACATTGAAGCTTGTCACCCTTTTCCTCAAATAGACAAAAGCAAACTACCTAACATCATCATGAGATTTGCAAACAGAAAATATAAAGTCAGTCTTTTGCGACAAGCCAAGAAGCTAAAAGGTTCAAAAGTTTATATTAATGAACATTTGACGAAGAGCAATGCTGATATTGCAAAGAGAGCTCGTTACCTGCGTAAAGAGGGAAAAATACAGGCAACATGGTCCTCAAATTGTAAGCTTTATATAAAACTTAATGGTGCACCTGAGCAGGCACGAGTTTTAGTAGTCAGGAGTCAGAAGGATTTAGAAAAATTTGTATGAGTCTGTGGTTTTTTTGATGTCATGCTGTTTTTAGTTTTATAGTTGGATATATTTAATGTTCTTTTTGATAGCTTATGACTGTGCCCAGTAAGGATATGCTTTACATTAAGTTGAACTTGCATAAGGGACTTGTGTTGGCTCATGTGAATGTATGTAGTTTACGTTACAAGTACCTGGACGTGGAGCAAATTGTCAGAGATAATTGTATCAACATCATTGCTGTTTCTGAGACCCATCTTGATCATTCCATCTCTGACTCAAGCATAGCCATTGATGGTTTTTCTGTTTTTAGGAAAGACAGAAATAGATTTGGGGGTGTAGTGGCTATTTATGTACAAAATAATTTACCTGCCAAAATACGCTTTGATTTGATGAGGGAGGACATCGAAGCATGCTGTGTACAAATACACATGCCTTATTTAAAACCACTTTTAGTTTGTTGCTTCTATAGACCCCCTAATGCAGATGCTGTATATATGACTGGGTTGTGTGAAATGTTTGATAAGATATCAGATAAAAATAGAGAGATTTATCTGCTGGGTGATGCAAATGTTGACTGGTTGGTGCATTCTTGTCCTAACAGGAAAACGTTACTCTCTATATTGAGTGCATGTAGTCTGTCCCAAATTGTTGAAGTCCCCACAAGAATAACTATTGGTAGTGATGGAACTATTTCTGGGACATGCATTGACCACATCTACACAAATGCTGCTCTCCAGTGCTCTAAGGTAATCTCTGTGCCTGTAGGTTTTAGTGACCATAATATAATTGCTATTAGTAGAAAAACAAAGATTCCAAAACCTAAAGCTAAAATCATTTTAACACGGTCCTATAAGCAATTTAATGAAGATTTATTTGTAAGTGAAATCGCTAATGCAAACTGGAATATGGTTTGTAGTGAGCATAACCCTGAAGCGGCACTGGATCTATTTATGTCAATGTTTATGGATGCTGTAAACAAATATGCTCCCTTAAAAAAGTTTGTTGTCAAAAATAGGTCTGCCCCTTGGCTTGACCCTAGTCTTAGGTCGCTAATGGCAGAGAGAGATTCAGCTAAAAAACTCTTTGTACTTTCTGGATCTATTGATGACAGGCGGAAATACTGTTCTCTACGTAATCAAGTCACAAAATTGAATAAGGTAAAAAAAAGGGACTACTTTAAACGAAGGTTATATGAGGCGAGGCACGATAGTAGAGGAATATGGAATGTTTTAAATGAAATCATGGGTCGGAACACAACTGTGTGCACACCCTTTGTTGAATCAAATGGATTTGTTCTCACAAAGCCAGGTGATATTGCTAATCATTTTAATGACTATTATATTGAGAAAGTATCTCAATTAAGGCAGACTATGAACACTTCACACAACATTAGATCATATGAATGTATTAAGAACATTATAATGAAAGGTAAAAGTTGTGAATTTGTATTTAAACAAGTTGACGTCCATAGGGTGGAACATTTGCTCCGTTCTCTTCCTGACAGTAAACTAGCTGGATTAGATAACCTGGATAGTAAATTGCTGAGAATGACTGCTGGTGTCATAGCAGCTCCCATCTGTCATATTTTTAATCGTTGCTTGGATGTGGGCCTATGTCCAAGGATCTGGAAGGAGGCTAAAGTTATTCCTTTACCTAAAGGTACTAAATCTGCTTTTAATGAGGGGAACTCTAGACCAATAAGTATTTTACCTGTTTTAAGTAAAATTATGGAAAGATTGGTACATGCACAATTTCAGGATTATTTTGTAAAAAACAAACTTTTTACAGACTCTCAACATGCATATAGAGCTGGCCACTCAACCTCTACTGCAATGATTCAAATGACTGATGACTGGCTTAAAGCGATGGATAAATCTATGTTGATAGGTGTTGTGTACCTGGATTTTAGTGCTGCTTTTGACATTCTGGACCATACTTTATTAACTGAGAAACTTAAATTTTATGGTTTTAATTCTTCGGCATTAAAGTGGATTGAAAGCTACCTGTCTTTTAGATCACAGAAGGTTTATCTGAATGGCAGCCTCTCCAGTAGAAGAAGTTTGGAGTGTGGAGTTCCACAGGGCAGCTGTTTAGGTCCTTTACTTTTTTCAATCTTTACTAATGATCTAGCTTGGGCTACAAAAAGTGCCAAAACTGTCCTGTACGCAGATGATACCACTTTGTATTATACTGCACCTTCATGCGGTGAATTTAATCAGGTTTTGAGCCAAGAACTGAATGTTGTATATGATTGGGTGGTAAGTAACAAACTGGCACTCAACATCTCTAAGACTAAGTGCATGGTAATTGGTTCAAGGCACAAGCTGTCCGCAAGCCCAAAGCTTGACTTAAAGTTTTGTGACTTGACGGTTCAACAAGTTGAAAGTGCCAAACTCCTTGGTGTGATGGTAGACTGTTCTCTGTCTTGGTCTCACCACATTAATTATATTATTGTGAAAATGGGAAGAGCAATTAGTTCCGCAAGGAAATGTTGCTCTTTTATGGCCCGTCCCCTTTTATGTCAAATAGTTCAGAGTCTAGTGTTGTGTCATCTTGACTATTGCTCTACAGTGTGGACATCTGCTGCCAGGGGTGAACTCAAAAAGCTACAGGTTGTTCAGAACAAGGCAGCACGGTTAGTACCGGGCTGCCACATTAGATCTAATGTCAACCAGATGCATTCCTGCCTTTCCTGGCTTACGGTTGAGCACAAGTTGCTTTTTAATACACTTATCCTGTTTAAGTCAGTCATGAGCAGTAATGTTCCTGCTTTTATACATTCACAAATTGTTTATAGTAATTCTGTTCATGACCACAACACTAGAGGTTCTTGTAATGGGCAGCTTGTTTTACCAGGTCCAAAAACCAATGCTCTAAAGAGATCCTTTATATATAGATCATTACACCTTTGGAATAATCTACCTCACTACATCCGCTACACTGAGAGTAAACTATCTTTTAAAAAGAATCTGAGACTCCATTTGATGCCCTGAAGTGTTTCTGTTTTATTGACTGTTTTATTATATTTGTTCTTGTTTTATTGGCTGTTTTATTTTACTTGTTCTTTTGTACTTCCTATAGTAATTTTAAGAAATTACATTTTTGGAAATTTTTATATTTGTAACTGTTTTTACTGTATGTTTTTAATGTGGACCCCAGGAAGACTAGCTGTTTGCCATGGCAACAGCTAATGGGGATCCTTAATAAAATTACAAAAAAAAAATTACTCTCTGACCCTGTTAACTTGAACAGGTCTGAGCCTCACCGATGAACAAAGCTGGACTTTAACAGACCCAAATCATCTCCTGAACATCTAAACATGAACAGATAATGTACCTGAAGCTGCAGCTGGTTTCTCAGAGACTCTGCTGGTTTCAGAGGAGGATGGAGAAGGTGAGGAACTCAGACTCTGTGTTGTTGTTGTTGTTGTGGAGGCTGCTGGGAGAAAAGTTGATCTAATAAAAGGTCCCAGAGTCCATTTTGGTTCTGAAGAATCTGAGGATGTGGAGATTAAACAGAATCAGAACAACTGAGGTCAAAATTTACATTCTTCTTGATTTTATGATCCATGTTTGTCTTCATGAGTCAGTTTGAACATGTTGGTCTTTAAAGTAGATCTGTTGAAAATCTGAGTGAAAAATTTAAAAACAGAAAAAACTCACCTTCAGTCACAGAGAGAATAAAATCATCACAGTGAGATTCCGTCCAGAAGATATACGAGGAATGATCTAAGCGACACTGGTACCGTCCTGAATCTGACTTTTTCAGCTTTGTGATGCTCACAATCAGATAATTAGATTTTCCTCTGTGATCATATCTAATGCTGTATCTGCCGCTCTGGAACATGTCCTCATTCGTATTAATCAGAATATTTCTTCCTTCACAGGTTTCCTTACAGAGGAACCTCCTGCTTCCAGAGTTCTTAAATTCACATCTAACTGTGATGCTTCCTCCTTCCGTTCCTCTGTAGGTTTCCACAGTTTCTCCATCCTGCAGAGATGCTGAGGAGATAAACAGTCAGTAGTTACTGTCAATGTTTAATATAATATAGTTGAAATATAGTTATAAATGAACCTGGATGCATTAGAATAAATTCACATTGAACCCAGAGTCTCAAACCAGTTCAGCTAAATTCTCTAAATAACTGCTTGGATCAACAACCTTCTGGTTTCTTTGACAGCTGATAAAATCTCCTCTGAGGACGTTTATAAAGTGAAGCTTTGGAGAAATAAAACATTTATCTGCTTTGTTTCTATTAGGATGGTTTTAGTGTCTCAGGTCTTGTTGGGTTACTTCTGCTTTCATGTTTCTACTCAACTGGTTTAAATATGATGAAAATAAGAAGTTTCCTGTGTTTCTATAAATAGTCTGAGCTGAACAATAAAGACTCTGAGCTCTTTAGGCGCCAACTGACAGTTTAGTTCCTCTATATTTACTTTTTGCCTTTTTGTTTTCTGTTCTTGCATTAAAATAATCAGTTTTAATCCTGAGCTTTAAAACTACAGCATATCTCACCTCAAAGGTCAACAGAATGAAAAAGACAAAATGAGGAAACAGAGTTCAGATTAAAACGTAAGACAAAAACTTTCTGATCAACTGTAAGGATTTAAAAAGATGAAGGACTGAGAGAAAATAAACTGATAGAAATAAAATAATGTACTCACTGAGGAAGAGGATGCAGATCAAAGTATAACAGACCTTCATCCTGAGCTGCTGATGGTTTCTAACTCTGCTTCTCTTCCTCCTTCACTGATAAACCAGGAACTTCTCTGAAGGATGGAGTTCCTCCTCTGACCACTAGAGGTCAGTCTCCTTGATATGTTTGATTTGATGTCTCATTAGATGATATACAGGTGCTGGTCATAAAATTAGAATATCATGAAAAAGTAGATTGATTTCAGTAATTCCATTTAAAAAGTGAAACTTGTATATTATATTCATACATTACATACAAACTCATATATTTCAGATGTTTATTTTGTTTAATTTTGATGATTACAAATGACAACAAATGAAAATCTCAAATTCATCATATCAGAAAATTAGAATATTGTGAAAAGGTTCAAAATTGATGGCCCCTGGTGCCACACTCTAATCAGCTAATTAACTCAAACCACCTGCAAAAGCCTTTAAATGGTCTTTCAGTCTAGTTCTATAGGCTACACAATCATGGGGAAGACTGCTGACTTGACAGTTGTCCAAAAGACGACCATCGACACCTTGCACAAGGAGGGCAAGACACAAAAGGTCATCGCTAAAGAGGCTGGCTGTTCACAGAGCTCAGTGTCCAAGCACATTAATAGAGAGGCGAAGGGAAGGAAAAGATGTGGTCGAAAAAAGTGTACAAGCAAGAGAGATAACCGCACCCTGGAGAGGATTGTGAAACAAAACCCCTTCAAAAATGTGGGGGAGATTCACAAAGAGTGGACTGCAGCTGGAGTGAGTGCTTCAAGAACCACCACACACAGACGTATGAAAGACATGGGTTTCTGCTGTCGCATTCCTTGTGTCAAGCCACTCTTGAACCACAGACAGCGTCAGAAGCGTCTTGCCTGGGCTAAAGAGAAACAGGACTGGACTGCTGGTGAGTGGTCCAAAGTCATGTTCTCTGATGAAAGTAAATTTTGCATTTCCTTTGGAAATCAAGGTCCCAGAGTCTGGAGGAAAAGAAGAGAGGCACTTCATCCACGTTGCTTGAAGTCCAGTGTAAAGTTTCCACAGTCAGTGATGGTTTGGGGTGCCATGTCATCTGCTGGTGTTGGTCCATTGTGTTTTCTGAGGTCCAGGGTCAACGCAGCCACATACCAGGAAGTTTTAGAGCACTTCATGCTTCCTGCAGCTGACCAACTTTTTGGAGATGCAGATTTCATTTTCCAACAGGACTTGGCACCTGCACACAGTGCCAAAGCTACCAGTACCTGGTTGAAGGACCATGGTATCCCTGTTCTTAATTGGCCAGCAAACTCTCCTGACCTTAACCCCATAGAAAATCTATGGGGTATTGTGAAGAAGAAGATGCAATACACCAGACCCAACAATTCAGAAGAGCTAAAAGCCACTATTAGAGCAACCTGGGCTATCATAACACCTGAGCAGTGCCACAGACTGATCGACTCCATGCCACGCCGCATTGCTGCAGTAATACAGGCCAAAGGAGGCCCAACTAAATACTGAGTGCTGTACATGCTCATACTTTTCATGTTCATACTTTTCAGTTGGCCAACATTTCTATAAATCCTTTGTTTTTATTGGTCTTCAGTAATATTCTAATTTTCTGATATGATGAATTTGAGATTTTCATTTGTTGTCATTTGTAATCATCAAAATTAAACAAAATAAACATCTGAAATATATGAGTTTGTATGTAATGTATGAATATAATATACAAGTTTCACTTTTTAAATGGAATTACTGAAATCAATCTACTTTTTCATGATATTCTAATTTTATGACCAGCACCTGTATATACCTCTATATTGATGATATTGACAGTTGGTTCCTTCATGGAGACACTGATGACGTCATCAGAGGAAAGAAACTGTAATGATCCCAATTATTTTTGGCCATTTTGATTGAAAAAAAACCCAAAATAATAATTTCTCCTTATTCAATTATAAGAATCCACTAATCCACTGTACATTTTTGTGGTTTTGATGATTATAGAATTCAATTCTAACCTTTCCTACTTTGATTTAATGTTTTTTGTCTGAGTTAAGGTTTGATGTGTCATTAAATGTTAAATAATGTTATTATTCTTCACATTTGAGGCTGTGCTGAAATAAATAACAAACAGCTTCTAATTGAAAGAAAATGAGAAAAAGAAAATTTGCATCAATAAAACATCAATATAAACATTTAAAGAAATTCTAAATGAATCCAAAACAGGAATCTAGACCCAGAGCCTTTGGAAGATTAAGAAGACAAACAGAAAGTAATTTCAGGTCAGAGACATAAAAAGATGAATGCTTGATTATTAACAGTCTGATAAATATTCCTTCTGATGAATCATTAGAAGGATTTTTGGTTTTTGCTCAGTTGTTAAACTTGTTTAATGGTTTTTACTTTGAGAAAAATTACGTCTTTAACTGAAATGTTTCTGTTAATAAAGTGAAAGTTAAAGTCCTGCAACAGTTTCTGTTTAGTTTTTTATTCAAATATTGAATCAACACTTAGAACATTGCAGAGAGAAGCAGGAAGCTCAGAGCTTCTATGGAGCCTCCACCTAAATAATGACAAAAACAATCAATTAAAAACACATTAAAACCTCACATTTTCATCCTCAGCTATCAATAACGTTCATAAAATAAATCACAAAGAAAACAAACAATAAGATCCACAATATGACATTTCTCCTCATTAGGTTTCAGGAGAAACTAACAGATAAAACAGTTTATTGTAAATGAGTTACAATAAACTCCTTTAAACATCTTCTCCAACATTCAATAGAGGAACGTTGGTTCTCTCTGCCCTCCATGGATCTTCTCTCCATTGCCAATGTTTTCCCAGAAGCACTAATATCTCCAGGGTTCCTCCCACCCTGAACACTGACTGTTCTCCTTCCCTCCCTCAGGAAGAGCTTCAGACGCCTGAAGAGCAGAACAAAAAGACTGGAAACAGCTTCTCCTCTTGGGCCTTAAGAACTGGAAACTCCTCTTTCCACAACTGGTCACCTTCCCTGCATCTTTATTCATGTTACCTTCAGCCAAAGAGGTCGATGATTGTCATCTGGATCATTGTCAGCAAGGGTTTGATGCACAAAGACTTTGATTGATTAGTGAAGTTTAAGTTATTGATATACTTTGTTTTTAATTAAATGTTTGTGATGTTTGAGTGATTTTATGTGTTCAATGTGCAGCAAACGTCTGTTTAATGTCAGTTGATTTTTTCAGAAACAATTACAAAAGATTTCTTCTATCAGTCAATAAATTTAATCCAAACTGAGAAAAACAATATTATCATCAACTCTTCTGTAACCAAAGTAAACCTGTCCTGTATGGATAATCTTATTTCATTTTATACTTTAAACTTCAAACCAAATGTTCCTCATCTGTACTTTGAGTTCTGATTGTTTATTGTTGCCTTAAATGTTTTTCAATTTTTTTTAATCACTTGATGGCCTGTGATATCACAAATTGTTCAATAACTTATTTAATTTATTTATATATTTTACGGATACTAGCCTATTATGATGTTTGACTTTATGGCGTTACTGCTTTCCAAGGAATTACATTAGACCATAGGGATTATCATTCTACAGCCTCAATATCTTACTCTGATAATAATAGGCGTATTGCTATACTATTTTTGTTATTTTTATTATTATTATCATTATTATTATTATTATCTAGCTGGTAAAATGTTCAGTTCGATCTGGAAAAGGATGCTATGATGCCTGATACAACAAGCATGAAAGGCAATGATGTTTTTGTGTACTCCTCTGTAGAGCTTTGTTTTAACCCAACCCCAAAGCTTTTTGGGCACATTATGCAAGAATGCTGCTTGCTGCTCCGATGAATAGTGGCGTTTCTAAGCTGTTGTCAGAGATGGCTGCGATCGACCCACAAGTCAGTGAGCTAATCCCGAGTATTCCCATTTTAAATAATGTACTATTTAACCATGTATGACCAAAACGTAATCTGGATATAATGGGCATCCGTATCTGCCCACCTGGCCGTAGCTCTGGTGGTCTTCGGGGGTAACATCATGCAAAGTCACGTCTGCGTGTTGACTAGGAACTTGGATGCTGTTGTTGAATTTGGTAGAGAGGGACAATGGAGACATCTGCAAGGCGGACGACTCTCTTACAGGTGTCGGTGTGCATCTGAGCATTGGTCTCAAAGGTGTGAAATCCCTTGACTGTTCACGTAAAGTCGCCTGAATTTCTCCAATACCAGCTCTCACCTCCTGTAAAATGTCCAGTCCCCCTCTGTGGTTATCCAAGTGGCTGGTCGTTCTGAGGCCTTCAATGTCCTGTTTGAGCTTTTCGTTCTCCTCTTTCAAACGGACAATCTCGGCATCCATCTCGGCTACTTGCGCAGACGCTGCTGCAAGCTGTATTGTATTCTGAGCCAGCTGCGCTGATCTCTCGGTCAGAAGAATTTCCAGATTATGTGCTCTAGACATATCTCTGTCATGTACCAACTTGGTAACAGCTGCCGCCTTTTTTGTGACGAGACGTTTTTGCGCAGCTTTCATCAAAGATGATCCAGGAGAGATATTGTCGTTGGTCGGGAAGAGAGTCTTCGCCGCTTTGGAGGGTCTTTGTGCTTTGCTTCCTCCGTAGAAACCTCTAGTCTCCATCGCTGGTCGGTAGAAAGGCATGAAGATCCGCTTACAAATCAGGTTACAAGAACAGCAAAGCACTTCTTACTGTGAGCTGTACATACAGTATAGGCCTATTTATTTCCCGAGCAGGGAGGAGCTGTGAGGGGGAAGGGGAGTCTCTAACAAAAGCAGTTCATAAACGCAGGTAGACCATATTTTTTGTTTTCGTCAAGATTAAATTAAAAAAAAGTGGAATTCATTGTTTGGGTTGGCAAGGGAAGATGTTTGGCCTGTTTTACCCACACATCACTGGACAATAAGATGACCAGTCCACTTATGTCCGCAGCAGCTAACCAAAAAAATCTGATGTTTTTTTCTTTTTTTCCCCCTTTGGTTGGTGCAAAGAAAAATCTAAACAAAATAGAAATATTGGTTGAACTCAATGCAGTTTCTATTTTTGGCAAAATTGTTCAGCCCAAGTTGAGGTTTTTCTTTAACTGTAATGACATAGAAGATTCCTAGATGACTTGCAGAGACATCATTT